AAGAAAGGCATGTTAATTCAATATTTTTTTAATTTTTTAATTTTTATTAATTCACACTTTATATATTATTTATATGAATTCTAAAAGTTTTATATTTGTTTTCCTACAAAATTATTTTATATTATAATGAAAATGCTTTTAATTACCTTACCAAAAAAAATGTTCAATTACTTTTTTAAAAATAAAATGCTCAATTATTATATAAACAATAAAAAGTTTTCCTTAATGAGCCTCAATTTAATGAAGGCAAATATGATAGAAAAAAGTTTAGTAAGAGCAAAGCTTAAGTTTTCTAAAATTTATAAGATTTTTTTATAATTAACTTAAAAAATTTTAGGCAATTGCCCTTACAATTTCGTAGATTCGTTTATAACTTGTCAAAATTATCTTGAATATACGATCTATAATTATATATTTTTATTTTAGTGAATTGAATAATTTATTTATTTTTAAAATTTTGTATATAAAAAAATAAATATTTTAAATTTAATAATTCATATATTTATATAATATAAATTATATCATTATATAATTTTTTTTTCTTCTCATCAAACAATCAATTCCAAGAGTAAAAATCAAAACTTTATCAAAGCTAAAGTCGTTCCATCCAACCATTTATCAATCTTTAGTGACTCTCTCGAAAGCCATTATGTCTTGTCCTAAAATTAAGCAAAGTAAACGTTCGAAAAATGCATATACATTTCTTGTGCCATCAATTCTTGAAAAAAAAAAAGTGTGAGATAATTTTGAATTAAATTTTGTCACAAGAAATTTCAAGTTGAAATAATTCGAAGATATTTGAATTGCGACAGTGAATAGAAAAAAAAAAAAAAGTCGATGAACAGAAATATGTCTGCCGGCGGACATCTTGTTGGAAGCATCCGTGTAACGACACTTGGACGACACTAAGCGGTCCCCACTTTTGGAAGGAAATCCTAGTTGGCATAGAGGAAGAAAAAGGATGGGACCCACATCACCTTCTTCCCAATAAAAGCAATACGACGATGGATGATCCGCATTAATTACCATTGACCGCGTGAATAATGGCGACAAACGCTCTTCTTTTGGGGGTTCTTTTGTCTCTCCGTAGAGCATTTTTAGATTGGCTAAATTGGGCTTCGTCACCTTTTCCATGATGCCTTGTCGTTGCCTTTTCTTTTTGATTAGGTGCTTATACTACCATCACTAATGCTTATTAATTGAAATATTAATATATACTTTTATTTTTAATTTAGATGTTGATTTTATGATTTTGTTAGCTTTTAATAAGAATGCAATGTCTGGCTTCCCAATAATATTAAGAGCTCAATTCTTTTATACTTGATCTAATATTTTGGTCTTTTTACAAATTTTTCACATCTATAATTGTTTTTATGTACATATATACATTGAGAGATGGAAAGATTCAAATCTACTATTTAGATAAAAAAATATAATAATTATTAATTCAATTTTTCGAATTCGAATTTATTATTTATTATATTCGATCAGATTAACAAGAACTTTTAAAATAATTTAAATATTATTTGATAAAAACTTTTTGCATTTGTTACATTAATTTCACAAAATTCAAATGACGATAATGTGTTAATTATATTTTTTTAAATATCATTGTAACCGGCATCATTAGACACTTGTTAATTTTTTTTAATTACATTTAGCAAAATGATTTTTCTTATTTAAGGTATGGTACAAGTGCTGAAAACCATATAATATTGTAAACATGCATGATCAAGTGTTTATAACCAATAATTAATATTGCTTCAATCCATTACACATCTATACACCATTTGATGAAGAATCAAAACGTTACTAGACCATAGGGATGTCAACACGTTCACAGATCTATTATTATTATTTTTGGGTGATTGGGTTAATTGTATCTAGCCTCTAGTCTTTTCTCTTAAAATAATTAATAACCTAAGGGTATAATTGTCACTATAAATACTTTGAAAAAGCAAAAACTTTAGAAAACACATTGGATTAGTTTGGTAGATTCAGCTGTTACATCGTTACTAATGCGGTTTGACTTTTATGTCGAGTGTTCCTCAAGATTCTTCCACTCAATTTATTTTTTCTTAATTAAAAAAAAGAGAAAAAGTTTTATTTTTAAATTTAGCCAAATTTAATCTCATATTTTAAAAAAATATTGAGATGATATAAATATGATATAAAATATATGAAAGTGATTTAATTTAAAATTTTAATAAAAATTAAATAAATTAATAAAAATAAATATATTTTTATATTATTTTTATATTTTATATGAATTATGAGATATAGTTTTTTATATAAAATATAATATTAATATATAAATTATTAATATTTTAAAATATGAATACATAAATTATTAAATTTAATTTATATTTATAACTCATACATAAAAAATTATTGAATAATTAAATATTAAATAAAACGATAAATAATAAAGATTCTTTTTGAACCTTCAAATTGCTATTTAAACGAGTTTTTATTCATCAATTTAAATTAAATGCTTCTTTTACATTTTACATTGAATTGACCCCTTCACCTTCAATCTCGACGATTGAATAAAAAATGGCTTATTATGATTTCGAGCAAGCCGCTATGGTGAAATCGGTAGACACGCTGCTCTTAGGAAGCAGTGCTAGAGCATCTCGGTTCGAGTCCGAGTAGCGGCATAGTATCTTCTAAAAGAGATAGAATAAGTCCTATAAAATTGAAATATTATCAATGATATATATTTTTTTTGTAAGAAAAAATTCAAAGATAAATAAACTGTTTAGTTCCTTAGGTAATGATAAAATATGTCATATCTAACAGTTTAAAATATCGTTACAAATCATGTATTCGAGATAATTCAATAAATTATTATTAATAAGACTCGAACCCAAAACTTCTTCATCTAAAAAAATAAATCTTAGTCAATTAAATTAATTATTTATTTGTATTGAATCAATTAATATTTTTATTACTTTGGAATGTCCTTTTTTGTTAATTATTTTGCTAACTTAACCTAGGTTAATTATTCTATATTCTTTGGGGTTAGAAGTTAGGTCAATTAAGTTCAGGTGGTCCTCAAGAGTTGTGACCTAAGCCCCTGATTTTCGTTGGCAAAATTAAGGATCCTTGACTTGACTAGAAAAAACCCATAATTCATTGGTTGGGACTTACCTGCCAGTGAATGCCACGTGTCCAAACTTTCATCTACTTTCACAAGGCAAATTCCTTGACTTCCGGCCTATCCTGCACATCTAAGTCTATACAACAAAAAAATCTCTATAAAAATTACCATATATTTTACTAAAATATACTTTAAATTTTAATAAATTAATATAATATATTTTAATCTCAATTATAAAGTATAATAAATAAAATTATGGCCATCTATCAAGATTACAAATTGACGACTGATGAGCAAGGGTGTTGCCAGCTGCACAGGACCGTGGATTTCGTGATCGCGTACATGTTGGACCTTGTGGGTCCATAAGTCTCTGTTCCCTCATTAAAGTATAAAATATAAACTTATCAATTTTTTTTTTCACTTTTTTTCCTTTTTTTTTTTCTAAATTTATTACTCATTTTCCGTATCAAATAGGCAAATTTAATTTCATTAAATATTTATTTGAGAACAAGTTACAATTTCTCAATTATTTCGTTAATTTTAGCAAAATTACATACTAATTGGATGTAAGTAAAACTTTTTAAAAAATTTTATTTATACTATAAATTAATACTTTATAATTAAAATAAATTTTATTTTTAAACTAAGTTTGATTAACACGTATCTATAAATACTTTCTAATGTTATTTAATATACTATTTAAAAAATATTTTCTCATTTGAGACATTAATTTTATAAAATTTATAAGAAAAAATTATATTAATTAGATTTTATTTTATAAATATTATATTGACAATCGTAGATAAAAACTATTTTTAAAAAAATTAAATTTTCATTTAAAAGATAATAAAGAGGTATGTGGGATAAGAGATTATCTTTTAAATTATTCAATTGGAGATTTTAACGGATAGATTTTTTTTCTTTTTTTTTTTTACAAAAGGACCTAATAATTTGATGAATAAAAAAATTATAGATGTTAATATTAAAATTTTAAATTTATAAATTTTATTTTTTAAAAGTGATTGTTTAAATTAATAAAAATATAATATACAAGCATAAATTTTTTACGTTTAAATCATGTTACGTAAACGGTTACTTACATGAATCTATTGAAATACTTTCTTTGTCTCTTTTTATTTTTTATTTTTTTATGTCTTAAAATTATATCTTATTTCTTTTTTAAAACATTTAAAATTCTTTTTTTTATATTTTTTACTTTTTAATATTAAAAATCATGAAATTTTAATTTTATAAAAAATTTGAAATTTAATATTAAATATGTTAAGGTCAATTTTTTTTTAAATTTCACAAAAATTAATATATGATAAATAAATTGAGATGGAAGGAGTAAATAATAATAATTTAATTATCAAATATAATTTATAATAAATGATTAATTTTTTTTACTAATATAACTATGAAATATGATTTAAATAAAAAAATTTACAAATAACCATTTGATTTAAATTTTTTAACAATTTGATACAGTCCTTATTCCTACAAAACTACTAAATCAACATAATTGATTTCACATTGTAATGTTAGAGGATGTATCTGTTCAAAGATAGTAGTGATTGACTAATTTGGGAATAAAAATAAAATAAAAATCCCAACTAATTAATGGCAAAAATAAATGCAAAGGGGCAATTCAATGGCCACAATCTGAGACTCATTAACACGGCGTGTTTATAATGAGCAAACCTCGCACGCAAAAATAAAAATAAAAAAAAATCCAAACCCCAAAAAAAAAAAAATCATTAAAATAATAATAAATATAGGGCTAGGTGAGGAGATAAACAATGAAAAGCGACAAGCATTAACTTGTTTGTTTTTTTTTTTTTAATTTAAATTTAAAACTTTTTTCTCAGTTCAGTCCAATTAAACTGGGAATCAGAATAGAGAATGAAAAAAATAGAATAAAAGAATAAAAAAATAAGGAGAGAATGAAACAGAGTATACTCATTATCTGTTTGTTTTTCTTTTGATAATAACTAACGGCTCTGATTTTGATATTTTTATTTTTGGGTGGTGGTGGTGGCGGGGCGGAAGAATCAGATGGCGAAAACAGGGGTGTTGAGTTCTGATCCAACGGTGAGAGCGAGAGCGGCAGAATTAAAGAAAGAATTGCGGAGGCTGGTTATGACTATCGTCGACGATGATGATTTTAGCATCCACACCATTGATCAAGCTAAAGATACTCTTTGTGTTTTGAGAGAGCTTAAGTTCAATAAACAATCGACTACCACCACTACGACGTCGTCGTTGAAGTTACATGAAGCCCTGTCGTGTCCTGAAGAGTTTAAATGTCCTCTATCTAAAGAGCTTATGAGAGATCCTGTCATTTTAGCTTCTGGCCAGGTAAACAGCTTTGTTTCTTTAGATTGTTTGTTCATGAAAATTTTGGATTGGTTTTTGAAGGTTCAAAGGAAAAAGATTTTAAAAATGTGGTTTTTATTTTTTATTTTTTCGTTTTTTAAGCGATAATTTGAAATAATTGAGGTGGAAATGGTATCTTGAATTTTATTTTTTTTTCAAAATTTTATTAATTTTTCTAATAATTTTTTTTGGTCGTTTGATTTCTTTTTCCCATTGTTTTAAGATAAAATTTGATGTTTCCCCGATGAAGGTTGTTAATTTCTTTTTCTGTTTGGTGTGGAAGAAAATGTGGGTTCACGTCTTTTTTCCTTTTTTTCTTTTTTTTGGTCATTTTGGATTTATTTAGTAATTAAATTACTATAAAATGGTGGTAATTTTAAGTTGAGATTTATTATTTTCTATATTTTTTCTCTTCGAATTATATCAGTTAAAGTGAATTTCTCTTTCTGCATTTCGGTTTCAGTAAGAAATTTATGACCTTTCAACAGTAATTTTAATGTAATTAGTTGAATTGCAGAACCTGATTTCGCTGTCACCATGTTTTCAATCTTACCTACCCAACCGAATGTATCCTTAAAGATTGCACTTCTTTGATTGGCCCTGATTTGGATTTTTTATTTGTTTTTCCTTCTATATTTGCTTCCTTCTAAATTGTGTAATGTTTTTATAATGATTCTTTTTAGTAGGTTTGTTTTAATTGGATGTCCATGGATTCAAGTTTACCAATTGGATTGGTTGTTCTAGTTTGTGTTAAGCTTCAGTCTGTTCTTTCTCTTTGTTGCTCTTGGTTCCTGATTGGTTTCATTTGTTCACGTGCAGACATATGACAGACCTTTTATCCAGAAATGGCTGAATTCCGGCAATAGAACTTGTCCAAGAACCCAACAAGTTCTTTCACACACGGTTCTCACTCCTAATCATCTTATTAGGGAAATGGTATTGCAGTGGTGTAAGAATCAGGGAATAGAATTGCCAAACCCTGTTCAGTATGGTAAAGAGGAGGGGGTTACAGAAGCTGAGCGTGACCGTTTCTTTTCTTTGCTAGAGAAGTTGTCTGCCGCACTTCCTGAACAGAAGGAAGCAGCAAAGGAGCTTCGGTTGGTGACGAAAAGGATGCCTTCGTTCCGGGCTCTCTTTGGTGAATCTGATGATGCCATTCCTCAACTGCTCACCCCACTCTCAGGAAGCAAATCTCAGAGTGGTGTTCACCCTGATCTCCAGCAAGATTTGATCACGACACTCTTGAACCTTTCAATTCATGACAGCAATAAGAAGCTCGTTGCTGAAACTCCAATGGTTATTCCTATTCTTATGGAAGCACTGAGATCTGGAACTATTGAAACTAGGAGCAATGCAGCTGCAGCCCTTTTCACTTTATCTGCCCTTGATTCTAACAAGGCACTTATTGGTAAATCAGGTGCCTTAAAACCCCTTATTGACCTTCTAGATGAGGGTCATCCATTAGCGATGAAAGACGTTGCTTCTGCAATATTTAACCTTTGCATTATTCATGAGAATAAGGCAAGAGCTGTGAGGGATGGTGCAGTAAAGGTCACTTTGAAAAAGATTATGGATGGTGTGCTTGTTGATGAGTTATTGGCTATCCTAGCTATGCTTTCAACCCATCAAAGGGCGGTTGAGGAAATGGGGGAGCTTGAAGCTGTTCCTTGCTTGCTTCGCATTGTCAGGGAGAGCACTTGTGAACGCAACAAGGAAAATTGCATCGCAATCCTCCACACTGTCTGTCTTAATGATCGAACCAAGTGGAAGGCACTAAGGGAAGAAGAGAATACCCATGGAACAATATCTAAGCTTGCTCAAGATGGAACCTCCAGAGCCAAGAGAAAGGCTAATGGCATTCTTGAGAGACTGAGAAGGGCTGTTAATATTACCCATACCGCGTGAAGACATTACTCAACGCAACACTACCAAGCACATCATTTGTAAATTCTGTTTCCAACTCCTGGTGATCAATGCTGCTTATCATCATTCCAATTTTGTAAATTCTCACCTTGGAAGCTTATGTTTATAAGATTTTCTCTTTGTTTGGTCAAATAATTTTCGCTGGCGTTCGGATTTTACAGGTAACAGAATATTGGCTCTTTTTATTTGTTTCCTAGCATCCACTCCTGTTTCTCATTCGAATTTCAGTCATGCGTCAGATTCTCTCTTTTGTTTTTCAGCAGCAACTTGAATTTTTCATTTTTTCTTGCCATTTGATTTTTGAATTATGGCAGAAAAATTTTTATCTTCTAACTTCTGCTTTGTCCTTTGTATTGTCAACAACGAATTATGTCCGGAAGTGGCAATGGATCGGATAAGAACGAGTCGAATTTAACTCGATTTTATATATAATATTTAAATTCGACTTGATTTGATAATTTTATTTTATTTTTTTAATATTTAAATTTAACATGATTTAATAAATATATAAAATTATATTCTATTCGAAATAATAAAATATTATTTTTAATATAAATATAAAATTAATATAAATTAAAAAAATTAAATAAATAATTAAAAATAATTTATATATTAAATCAAATTTATCTAAAATTCAATATTAATTTTTTTTTATTATACGATTCAATTCGATTTAATATTTAATTTTTAAAAAATAATTTTAAAAAATTAAATCGAATAAGAATTCATCATATTAAAATATCTTCCCTAATTGCAACCTTGAACATTGATTGAATTTTGCTTGCAATAGCAAAGGCTGGCTCTTTTACTCGATGGCAAACCGTGGAAAGAGCCAATCTTTTATGGATGATTCATAAATAAATCCAAAATTTGAATGAATGGTCCTTGAGAATTTCAATGGTGGTCCATCCTTGACCGGTCCCCGAAACCCCAAAGTCTTCATTGTAACAGTTACTACCCTGAATGCCTACTATTCTTTCACATCCCAATAAGAAGAAGCCTATTTTTTTTTTCGTATTTAAAATTGCTAGGATCGAATGTTGAGTACGAAAATTAAGGGTTTAACTCGCACGGCCGTTGAAAGAAAAAAATTTTTTTTTATCGAATTCAAAATTTAATTTAATTAATTTATTAGCATTTATAATTTTTTTTATTTACTGTCAATTCTTTTGAAAAAAAAAAAAACATATTTTCATCTTTTTGTGCGTCTCTCAAAGCTAATGTTAGCAATTGTAGTAGTCTCCTCAGCCTCGTTTTTTATGGCTTTCAAGCAATTAGATGAATGAACGATGAACGTCTGAAGATGGGGTAAAGTTGAAACTAAGATATGATGTGACTTGTACCATTTCTATTAACGCATATGAACAGATGTTTTAGAGCAGGCCGCCGACGGCTGCGGCACGTAGCTTTGTTTAAGTTTCCACAAGTGGCGTCTGATTTGTGGAAAGATTTACATTCCAGAAAACATCTGCGCAACGAACATTCCATAGCGCATTCCTTGCATTACTTGAAAAGCGTGTTAGTTTACACGGCCAGAGATTTTTGTGCCCAAATTTTGATGATTTCGGTTTTGTAAATTTGATAATTCGCTTCATTTCATCGTATACATATTATTTTATACAAAAATTATATATAATAATTTATATTAATATATTTTAAATTATATTATTTTTATATCATATAATCGTATTTTTTTTAATCAGATTTATTATTTTACCTAATTGGTCAAGAAAACATACCATTAAATTCCACCCGATTATAATGTCAGGAAAGGTCCTGATTTGAAACCCAAGTATTATGAGTCTGAGTTCACAATGTTGAAATGCTAACTTTACACATATGATGATTTTAGTTTTGTAAATTTGATAATTTATGTTATCGTATCATATAAAATATTATATTCATATTATATTTTATAAAAAAATTACGTATTATAATTCATATTAATATAAAAACATAAAATATATTTTAAATCGTATTATTTTTATATATTTTATTTATATTATTTTCATCTCATATTATTATATTGTATTACATATTATCATATCTACCATTTTGCCTAATTGGCCAAGACAACATACCACAAAATTCCATTTGATTATAATGCCAGGAAAAGTCCTGATTTGAAACATAAGTATTGTGAGTCCGAGTTCATAATGTTGAAATGCTAACTCTATACACTTCTACATAAATCATAACGATAATAGTGTTGTATAGATATGAAGTTTAACTCAATTTAGTTGATTTAGTACGTCAAATTCTTTAATTTCTCATTAAAAAAAAAAAAAAACAGTGTTTTTGCTGAAATCCGAGCAGGTTTTAACCATTGCCAAGAAGGGAAATAGTCATGGGTGTTTGACAAGATCATATGTGACTGTCTGTCTTAACATAGATCTAGACAAAAACATACCCCCAAAAGGTAGATATTAGTTTAAAACTTTAACCTCTTATATCAGACAGAATCATTTAACCATTGCATATTGAAGATCATGGTAAAAAAAAAAACTCAAGAAAGTGAACTGTTCCTAGACTCTTATAGGTGCATGCATGGGAGATCGGGGGTAAAGCACAGAGAGGTCGTTAGTGTTGTTTGCTAATCAAACAAATTCAACCAGCAAAATGGGTCTACCACTGCCGATTGCAATGGCTCATGCTCGCTCCTTAAGAGTTAACCTTTTATGTAGATACGATAATCCATATATTTATATTATATTTTATATAAAAATTATATATCTTCATATTAATATTAAAATATAAAATATAATTTTTTATTTTATTAAATTTATTTATAATTTTTTATTTTTTATTCATATTATTTTCGTATCATATTATTATATTATATTTAAAATTATCAAATCTACTTTTATATGAACAAAGTGGTGAGTGCCATATCTACTCATTTATGATATTCTCCCAAATGACATTTGCCCAAAAGAGTAAAAGAAATAGCAAATTTTCACATTGTAATAAGAATTTAAGATGCATAAATCCATAATTTAGAAAAAAAAATTCATAATTTTGTAAATTTGAAACAAAGCAAATAGGACCAATAATGATGTTTTTCTTTAAAAAAATCATAACCTATTTCCACAACACCGACAGAACTGCAAATTTCATAATTTGCAATTTCTTTACTTTGGACTTTCCTTTAAACCTTTGTCAATGCTAATAATGGAACTTTTTGAACAACCTTTGGCTTTAGTCAAATTTATCAGGCTACCTGTATTACTATTTGCATAGAGTTACAAAAATTCCTCACCGACAAGACATGGGCGTTAAAAATTTGAAGCACCCTTTCTCGTTTTATTAGTTGTTATTATGACTTTAGTCATCATAATTTTTTCAGAACAAGAAATGTCGGCAAATCTTTGATTTTTGGATCCATTGGATGGATCCATGTCCAAAGGTTTGATGAGTTGATAGGTTTATTTAGATATTTTTTAATATTTGCTTGAGTTTTGCACACTTGTTCGTTGAAAATGATAAAAGATTAAACTTTAGGTGGTGATCCACATTTGGTATTACATCTTAGAAAATTAACTCAAAGAGAAGTTGTCAACTTAAAAAAAAAAAAAAAAAACTTAAAACTCAAATATAGACCTGTTTATGGTTGAACAATTCGTCCGAACTTAAAAATTCATTAGAAACTTTACAAATTTTAAATATAAATATTAAATTCATTACATGAATTTAAATAAATAAATAAAATTTGATAAAAAAATTAGACTGAATTTAAGTTTCATCATTTAAGATCTAAGTTTGGTTCAAAAATTAAAAAATATTTTATCATAATGAGACAAAACCCATTTGCTTCATTTTTTATAAGGGACAAGACTCATTTTTTTTACTGTTTATAATATAATCAAGCTCATTTTTTATATAAAATATGATGATTCGGTTTTGTAAATTTGATAATTCGCTTCATTTAAGTTGTATAATTTTTTATTACGTGTAAATAACGTTATGATATTTTATTTTCTATAATTATAACCATAAATTTTTAATTTTAATTAAAAATCCAATTGAAATAATTTTTTAGATATTCTATAACTTAAGTTATTTTATAAAATTCTAATTATAATAATGAAAGATTAATTATAACTTGTCACATGTTTGTAAGTAGTGTCAGATAATAAATATTAGTCTTTCGTTATTTCAATTAATTTTTTTCATTAATTTTAGAAATTTATGATTATAATTTAAAGAAAAATAATTAAAATAATTTTTTTATTGTGAAAATACATTAATAATATTAACTTTCAAAAACATTGTCTTAATAAGATGAAGCCCAATTTTTCCTTCTTTGTGACAGTTCAAGAACAATCAATGTCTTAATGTTACCCTTCGTTAACAGAACCCAACATAAACATTAAATAGTTTAAAAAAGACATTTGGACAACGAGCTTTTCCCTTGGTGCTCGGAAATAATATCGTATTTATGTTGCATTATCATTATCATGACTCTCAAACTATAGTGATGATTAGGTAAATGGGTTCTTTTCAGGACAACCAATAGAAACAATGGAAAAAGGAAAATGGCCAAAATCAAAATGGAGATGTGCCAATGCATAGTTTTTATTTCAACTCATGTCTTGGACCATTTCGTGACAAGAATTGCTTACAATAATAAGCCACAATTATCCATGGAAATGACACTGCTACTGCCCTAGCTGCCTTTTCTTTTTTGTTCATTTGCTTGCATGATTGGTGGGGCAAGCTGTTTTGTTGTATCGTTGATGTGATAACACCAAACTCTTTCCTTTTCATTTAGCCCCAATCTATACACAATTTGCGAAGTTGAATGATATAGGTTGGAACGTGCAGCCATTAATCCTGACAGCAAAGTAAAATATGTCTCTTTCTGATGCCATGAAACCCATCCATGGCCACTCATTTATAGCATGAATTAGTTTTGATCAATATGTACAAAGTTAGCTATTATGAGAATAACCGAACAATTTCAAAGGATCAGTGGACCACTATTCACCAGTAATTAAATGGCATAACAACATCATGGTGTTGGTTTAAGGATTTAGGGTTAGTTAAATATTATTGTTGCGGTTGAAAAAAAATTATTTTCAAGAGTAATGCTAAACTAGATCTTACTTTCGTGTCCTGTAGGAACATGCATGGTGTTGCATTGACAAGGCTGGAGAGACATCATTTGAGCACCGTTTGCTCTTAACTGCTTTTCGCCAATCAGCATCCAGCTTGCATCTTTCAGTAGGTCGGTGCATCTCTTGGCTGTCATCTTGAGTATCATCGTTTCATCAAATTTCAATATAGCAGCCTTTACATTTAATCCCTACCGTTTGCTTCATCTAACAAGATCCAATTAAAGTCCAATACAAGCCGGTGCAAATCTTGAAGTGTTTTACTTTTTTAGCAGTAAAGAGTTTCGAAGTTTAATAAATTTACGGAAAAATTATCTTTTCATATTTTTTTAATGAGTTCAAACTCAAATAACGAAAATAAAAATAAAATTCTTTTATCGCTTAAGTTAACATCCGTTGCAGAGAATTTTAAGTTATCACCCTCGCATTATCTATTATGGAGCAGCTTCTATTTTTTTTTTTTTTAATTCCCGACTTCTTCATCCAACTTGGAGCAACTTCTTTGTTACTTCAAAGTGTCACCACTTCAGCTATTCAAATGCAACAATTTGTTATGGCTCATGCTGAATTTTATTCTTCTTTCATGGGGTTTGGTTTACTTTAATATATCTTGGTGCAGCTTGACAGATTTCAATCCGTGGAACACTTAATCATACATAGCAGCAGCTAATTTCATCTTTAAAACCATAAATCACCTTAATTTCATCTTCATAAACAACTAATGTAGCTTGCTTGCACATGACGCTAGATGGCTCCAGCAACATTTACCTTTACTATCTACATGTATGGTACAGAAGCTCGTATGGTAAAGGTATAGATATGTGTCACATTTAAATTTCAAGAGAGACTCGACACTTGATCCTTGCTCACTTCAGAAATGTTTATCAACAATTCTCGAACACGATTTGCAAGACCTGATGTTTCCTGGTCTAACTTTAGGGGACGCCTGTGCAAACTCTGTAAAACATCCAACAGGTCATATTTATCCCCACAAAGGTTACTCCAGTTTTGCATGACAAGTAAACAAGCAAGTGAAGCATACCTCAGAAGTCCACAAGCAATCCCATGTTTTACGAGGGATTATGTGAATATGAGTCTGAAATTCGATATCATAAACAAACCACTTAAAATTACCGTCTCACTCAATATAGATATTTAAAACTAATCTGCAATGACAGTTCTATCTGTTTAGATTCGGTCCAGCACACACATCTTGGAAAGTAGAGAAACATCATACCGCCTACTCCTAGATGCAAACATTCACGAGAAGGAAAAAAGCAAGGAAAACAAAGAACTGGCAACTTACATGAAATATAACTTGACCTGCAGCTGCACCATTGTTAACCAACAAGTTGAATGAATCTACACAATTTGAAGTTCCAAGTTAATTTATATGAAAGAATTTATGGCATTTATATCAACTATAACAAGTATAATACATGTCATCCACACATTTCATAAGAGAGATTTAACGAAACCAGCAAGTTAGTTGTCCTCAAAGTAACAGAAATTGTAGTGAAGCTGCATATATCATGTGCATCATCTACCTTTCAGAAAACTATTCGAAATGACAGAGTAAAGATGTAGTTTTTAAATTACTATAATAAAGTTTGTATCAAAGCTTTCAGTAGAGAATGCTTCCGAGAAGTAAAAATGGAGCTTTACAGAGGGCAAAAATATCATAAAAGAATTCAATTAATCAAATCTAATTACATTGGATCAAGACTTTCTTGAACAAAGTAATGCCTGTCAGAGTTCTTTTCTAGATTGAAAAAAGTTGCATCTCCCAGGTATTAACAGAAAACAGCTGCCACATAGTGGAAAACCAACACTATTGAGATACCTATATGCAGATAGGTACTGATCATAGTGGTGAAATTTATATATTGTGATCATTCATATTTCCAAATTAATTTTTCAAAGAATAAATGATGATCGGCAAACAAATATAGATCAGTTGTTTCTTTTAGAGGCTTCAGCTAGTGTCAATCTTCTAAAACAATAATATATGATCTCCAGCTTTGAGTTATGGGTTTAATAATTGCATTTCCCAAGGCCACAAATCTTCAAGCTAGATTGATGGCAAATTTATCACATCAAGATAATGTAGTATAATAACTTCAAAGAAAGTGAGATGTACATATTACAACTGCAACAAAGACACTTCAGCACATACCAGAACCAGTAGCTTTCATGATTGCATTGCCAATAAAAGGAACTTTTGAACACATTGCAGCTACAACCTGAATGCTCCTCAAAATACACATAAAAAGAGACTTTAAAATTTATTTCTTCTAGCAAAATTCTCAAACAATCTCAATTTTGCAAAGCATGATACTTAGTTCATAATATTTATATAAATGGAAGTATGTTTAAAAACATACATTCACGGCACATAAATACATGCATGATAAACACTTCTATTGCATAGACCAAGCACAAAAGCCAAACTAATAGTTTTTGATCTTAGCATTTATAAGTCTATGCAGCTTGGCTTAATTTGGAGGCTATTTGTAACAACTAACAACTAATGGAACCACTTTACAAGAACAAGGAGCAAAATCCATGTTGAAGTTAAACGTAGGACATTATGTGATTGTTTAGTCCTATCAACAATTTTCTTTAACCTGCATGCACATGTTGATACTTTCATCTGCTCAACGGTAAGTATAGAAAAATTATCCTATCAAATACCAAATCAAAATGTTCAGTAAGAGTCAACAGTGCTCAAAACTGCTTGAACAACAGGTGCAATTCATAATGAAATAACAAACAAACAACAGTATCAAACTTACAGATGGTGGAGTTGTGTCCAAGGAAGAAAAATGAGACTTTGGGATAATAAGTGAGTGCCTAAGAAACAACAAAAAAAAGTAACATACAATGAATAGTCCAACAGATTAGTTCTACATAAAAACTCACAAATATCCTCATGGAAGTGATAATATATCTATACTAAAAATTGATGATTATAAACTTCATGTGAACAGACCTTAGACTTACAAGCTAAGACCAACATGGGAACCAAACAAAATCAAATAGCTGCAGCAGGGCAGCCCAACCACACATCTGTTGCAAATGTGCTCCAAATCCCAATCTATCTGTAAACCATGGCCTAAACACTAATTTTCTTTTCTGGGTTTCATTTTCCATTCAAATGTGAAGTTCTTAGAGAGTGAAAACCTCATCCACCTTTCTCCCAACTACAAATGTGCTTTTTTTTTTTGAGTTTAAGATAGTAAATAATCAGATATTATTGCAATTATCATAGGAAAGATGATACCTTACCCACGACTCAAAGGACTGGTATCCAATATACACAAAGACATATCATCTTCATACAGCTGCTAAATAAAAAAAATTTTAAAATCAAATTAGAGAATTAAACTGGAAATAATTAAATCGAGGAAAAAACGGAGAAGAGAGTTAAAAGCTTTTAACTTAAGAGCGGGGATTCACCGCGAATAATTTGACAGAAAACACAGTCGTTTCGGAAAGATTCGTGGCTGGAATCAAGTACTGACCGCCTCTCGGACGCGCAACCGGAAGCAGAAAGGGTTGAGGAGCGGGCGGGGAAGTAGCCGGAACGGGAGGGGCAAAGATGAGAAGAGAGAATAGCGAGCCTCCGAACCTCCATTGGAAAAGTTGGCTATGGCATTATCTTTTGTTTCGTTTTATAGTACAGAGTCAGAAGTGTGTTTCCAGGAGAGTCTGAAACAGGGCAGGACAAAGAGACAAGAGCAGAGAGTAAGAGGAAAAGGGGGTGGAATATCGAGGTCGCAGGTGGTCGTTGGGCTGTGGCTTATCCGCATACCAGCCACGTGAGATTTTGTGTCTGTTGTTTTTTACCAACGATTTTTCTACTTTCTTATTAAATTAAAAAAAAAAAAAACTCCAATCTCATAAAATTAAAAAACAAATAAGTTCATAATTTTAGTAAAATCGAAAACGGTTGCACTTGCTCTTCACATGAACATAAAATACTTACAAACGTATTATCTCACACAAAACCAGATCATTACAAACCAACATCTTTGTTTCGTTATAATCTTTGTACTTAGGTTTGATTATTGTCTTTTAAGAACAGATTATGATTTTATTTAAATATGATTACTCGTTTATTTGTATCATTTACATAATTTTTTATGTAATATTTATTTTTTAAATTATACTCAATCAAATATTATATTTAATATTTAAAATTATCATTTCTACCTTTATAAACAATGTCAATGAGTGTATTAAAATAAGTAATGAACAAAAGCTCAACCCACATCGACAAACCTTATCAAGCAATTCATTAAGAACTAAATCATTTTGTAACGGATGCAAAGCAGCAAGGAATTTTCTTCTATCAAGAACATAGGCCAGTCCACCTATCGTCACACCTCCTTCAGAGAAATAGGCACCATAACTGGTACGGTGTTACATTAGCTCATAAATGCAGCAGCCAGTGGCATATATCTTTCATTATTAAAAACATGCTCAAAGAAGAAAACCCTCAAAACATCATCAGAATCATGCAGACTTTAAATTAGACGAAGGGTTTAGTACCAATCACCAAAAAAACAATTGAGCCAAAGTCTAAAACTTCCTACACGATAAAATATTATACCAAAAAGCAAAACCAACGTTCAAGGACTGATCTTCACTCATCCTCCTGGCTGCGCAACCTAGCCAATTTGTTGGTCACAACAACATCCAACTGTGCAGCTCGCTCGACAATTTCCTTCCTCTTCTTTGTTGAAACATCATGGGCTATCTCAGCACAGTATGTCCTGAGAATGCATCAACAATCAGCAACATGCACGGAAATGCTGATCAACAAAATGAGGAAAAACAGGTAAACATATATTATACCTGTTGTGCATCATGAGAAGCTCCAGTTCCTGAACATTATGCACAACAAATTTCTTAAAACCGTTGGGAAGATAATGGCGGGTCTTCTTGTCTGAGCCATAACCAATATTGGGCATCAGAGTGCATCCCTTGAACTTCCTCCTAACACGGGAGTCAATACCCTTAGGCCTTCGCCAGTTTGTCTGACAATATGCAAACAGCCTGTTACATTATTGCAGGAGAGACAATGTGCATGTATGTGTGTATGACCTAGATGAGACATCAACTAGACAAGATGCATCAATGTTTGTCATAACATAGTTCAAGACCACAGGACATATAAGCAAAAGCATGACAATAATATAAAAGCACGAAAGAAGTAAAGAGCTTGGTTTCAGCACTGCACTGAAACAAAAAGCACAATCATGTTTCCTTGACACAACTGAAGAATTAGAGAAAGGAAACAATTCAGGAGCTCAGATAGATATCCAGACTAAATGTAAGGTTCCATAAGCATCTACTTAAAAAAAAAAAAATTTATTACTTGTGTACGCTTCACCTAGTAATTCTGGGTAGGCTGTACTTTTTTGTTCACAAAGATAATAAACTAAGATCAAGAACTTCCAGAGGGCATAAATAGTGGATGGTGAATGGAGCACCTCTTCCACTGGGAAAAATGGTACAAATGGAAAGTTGCTCAAACTTCAGGTTACTCCGAGACACATTCCTAGTTAACTAGAAAATATTACGAGGCTATGTTCATAGGTTGTGAAAAAGTACATCAAGAAGATGGATGACACAGCTTCTATACAAAAATATTCCATTTCCAACACCAATATAATGAGAAACAAATCTTTTTTATTCAACAATTGCACTATCCAATTCGCATCCACACCTAGAGGAACCAGAGCTAATCTTCAAGATTTGAACAGTGAAAAGTTATCATTCGATAAACACTCCAAGAAGGATACAAGACTCTTAAACCACCTCAAGCATAAGACATTATATCAAAAAGTATACTAATTCCATAAATATTCTCTCATTAAAGCGCATGTGAATTAACTGAATCCAAGCCAATTCAACAGAACAGGCCATCTCAAAGATTGCAAGTCAAGTGCCATTCCAATTATCCATCAACTTAAAAAATTCTTACCATGTACTCCTTTTGAGGCAAACAGAAAAGATTCAAACAACTGTAAATTAGAAGGTTATTTCCCAAGTTACCAACATCATCAAATAGAAAAGCCCTATAGAGAACTCTTAGGCTTCCATCGGTCCAAATCCAAACCATAACAGCAGAAAAACGAAAATCAAGTAGTCCACTAGCATCCCCAGTAACAACTTCTATCATTCCAACACAAATACTTCATCGCTATCTCTCAAATAAAAAATTAAGATAACACATCCTGAATTGGTCATAGTTGCTCTTTCTAACCTCAATTCGTTGGAAAAGTTTAAAAAAAGAAAACCCAACTCTACAGCTATGGGAATCTTAATAGGTAGAAGATTTTAAGACCATGGTGAATTGAACTAAGTAAAACCAATTAAGATTTTTAAGTACAAGACAACGCTAATAAGAAAGAGAAGATGTTTTTTTCTGGAACCTTGACGGAGATCTTGCGGTCACTTTGGGGCCTCTTGAACTTCTTGACACGCTTCTTCACAATCTTCTTGGACAGCAAAGGAACTGCCATTGTTTCTAATAACAAATTTTACCAAACAAACACCAACATGTAAGAGAAACCAGTTTAAGATTCGGACAAGAAGTGAACTCCAATATAAAAAAAAAAATCAAAACTGGGTAAAGAGAAAAGAAGTTACCTGATGGAAACGCCGCAAGGCAAAACCCTGGCCTGGAGTGAAAAGTGAAGAAAAAGATATAAAAGATAAAGGGGCTAGGGTTTTTAAGCGGAATTGTGGTATATATACGGGAGAGGAGTGATCTGGTGTTCGGGTTTCAGAGTATAGCTTATTGTTCTCATTTCTGAGTGAAGCCCAATATGTTACGGGTTTCATGGAAGCCTGTTCGGCTGCCGATATTGGGCCTCCTCGTTCTAAGCGATAGAAATATTTATTGATTGGATCGGATTTAAGTAGAATCTATATTTGATATTAATAATTTATATATATTTAATTCGATAAAATATTTTAGATCTTAAAAGTTTTTTAAATTTGATTTAAATTAAAAAAATAAAATTTATGTTCATAAATTAAATATAATTTATATAATAAAAAAATTTTAAAATAAAATATCAAAAATAAAAATTTACGTATATATATATTTATATAATTATAATATTTTAATTATATATGATTTATTCGGTTTGAGTGAGGTCGGGTTTTAATTTTTTTATCTAAGGTCCAACTCAAAGCCCATTTAACAAGTTTTAATATCTTACCCAAGCTCTTTTAAAATTTTGGACGAATTTTTAAATTTAAATAGATAATCCAACTATTGAAAACGTCTACTCAACGAACATATCATCTTCTTTTTATATAATTCTTTAATGAATATTTACCATCTCATCCTTAAAAAAGTTCATTTTGCATCTCATATAATTTCATTTATGTTGTTATAACATATTACAGTGTTAAATGTGAATATAAAATTAAGTTTTAAAATGATTTTTTTGTTATTTTATTTAAAAATTAACCTAATAACTTCATGTAAATAGTAATCTTATGAAAAACAAACTAAAAAATTGTTGTACATTAAGGGTGTTAACGATCAGGTCTGTAACATTCTGATTACATGTCATTGGAATTTATATGTATTTATCTAATTAATCGTGTCGAGATATGAAAAAGAGAATCATGGATTTTTCTACTTGCTAAAAGTCCATGCATGGATTTTTCTACTCAGAGTCTCCTGATAGAATGAGAAGCATGAGTACTGCACTGTCTTTATGCTCCACGTCCATGGGGTACTTCATTAGCTCGGTGCTGGTATTTGTTTGTGTCGAGTTTCAAATTAAGAGTTAAAATCTTAAAATCATAAAAAAAAAAAAAAGAGAAAGAGAATAGTTAAAAATAAAGGCAAGGAGCATTCTCTATATTTACATTCCGATATTTAAATTAGAAATCAGTTATAGCAAGTTGGAAGGAGAATAAAATAGAGAGAAAGTATAAGAAAACAAGAATATTAAATAGTATTTGAATAATCCTATTTACAAATAAAAGATGAGAAGTCTGTAAGATAAATTAGTATGTGACCAAACTAAAATAGTATCGTATATGTCAGATCAGTTCAAAAATAAAAAATATTTCTAATTGTCTGCCGACAATTCTTAATGAAAAAAAATATCATTTATCATTTGGATCCAAAAATACCCTTGACAGTAAACATAAGCAACTTAGGGAGTGGACATTCTGAGCTTCCTCAATCTGTTGAACTACATTTTCTGGGCTAGAAGGTACATAGTTATTTGAGTGATATTTGCAATTTTAGTTTATTATCTTCCCTCCTGCTTTTAAGAACAATAAAGAGTTAGGTATGCCGTAGATTATCATTAAAAAATTTTCACTAATTTTGGACCAGTTTCCTTGTTGTTGATGTAGTTTTTGGTTGGGTGAGAGAGAAGTGTCCTGGAGGCTAGTTTGGCCGATGAGTAATGAAGTGTTTGATCGATTTGTTGAGCATTAAATCCAGATAACGGTCAAAATTGTTGCTGATACGGCCATCAATGGCACTGAAGTTACAACACGTGATCATCTAGACATAACATTTGTGAATATAAATAGAAAAACCTTAAAATTCTACACATATTTTACCAAAAAAAGAAAAAAACAACATTATATATTTTTGGACTTGAGTATTACTTGAACCCTAAACTCGACCCTCCATTTCACCTACAATGCCACCAACTCCTCTCTTTCCATCGCCTTCTCGGCGGCTCTGTCCAACGCCAACGGTTGGATCGCTTGGGCCATCAACCCGACAGCTACAGGCATGGCGGGTTCCCGAGCCCTACTTGCCTTCAAAAACAAAGGCTCCATGGTTGTTAAAACCTATAACATAAGATCCTACAGCTCTATTATTGAAGGGAAGCAATCTTTCGAGGTTTGGGACCTCGAAGCCGAGGGTGGCGACGACGGGACGATGGTTATCTACGGTTCCTTGAAAGTTCCGTCCAGTGCAGAGAAGCTGAACCTGGTTTGGCAAGTAAGGCCGGGGGTTACTAATGGTCACCCAATGAAGCATGAGTTTGCTAAAGCCAATCCGGCTTCTATGGGAGACTTGATGTTGGTGGAGAAAGTAAGTTCGGGTGCCTCATCCCCTGTACCAGCTCCACGAGTTGCTAACGATGATTCCGGAGATGGGTCGAGGGTTAGGGAAATAAATGCTGGATTTTGGATCTTGGGTTTGGTTTCCTCGACAGTTTTGATGTGATTTAAAGGAGCACCGGGCGTATCATAATTCGATCTTAATCGAATTAATCAATTGAATTGATTTAATTCGATTGAATGATTTGTTATTACATTAATTTAATTGATTAACAAAAATAATGTTTAAAAGATTTTAGTTTTCGATTAATTAATTTATAAATTGAATTAATTAATATTTTAATTGGAGTATAATAAAATTCAAATATAAAATAAAAAAATGAAATCTATCATTTTATTTTATAAATTATTAGAATTTTTAACATAATATATTGATATTTGAATATTTTATTGAATAATTTTATTTAATTTGTTTAAAATATGAAAAATTATAAATCTAATTTAATTTTAATGTATTTATTATTTGATTAATTAAAAAATTAATTGAATTAATTAAATTTAATTCGATTAATTAATTTTTAAACTTAATTATTCAATTCAGTTAACGAAAATAAAATAATATAATTCGATTTTGAATAGTTCGATTAAAAATTAATCGAACCGATCGAATGAACATCTTTAAAGAATACAATAATAAAAAGCAACATAAAATTGTATTATTACAAAATATATATATATTTTAGCAGAAATTATTTTTTGCTTTCGTCTTCTTTTTGTTGTTATTAGTATTAATTTCAAGTATGAACAAAAATGAAAAATCGGGATTAAGTAGTTTTATGATTAGACTTATAAAAATTTAATCATAAAATATAATTATGAGGCAATAAGAAAATTTTTCACATTGACAAAGAACCCTTAATCCATAACTTAAAGAGGCATGATTGACATTAAGCATGTAACCCGATAATCAAATCCAATTTTTCTTGGAAAAGAAAGTGTGCATCATCCCAAGACTTATTACGTTTAATTAGCAAAATCAATTATTAAATTGTTTTCATTATAGTACAATTTAGTCATATAAATAGTTAGTAAATTTTCAATATTTTATTTATAAGATTTAAATTTGATTTTCCTTATTAATAATCTTCTTTAATAAATTATCTGTAAATTAAATATAAATTTTTAATAAAACCTACCACATAACTTGACTTTAAAACTAAATAATGTCCCATATTTAAACTTTCCCTTAAAAAAAAAAAAAACAGTACAAACAATTAGCTCTGATGGTTCTATCTAATTATCAAAACAGATCAGAATCAGATATTCCTAATCCACAAATCACAAAAATATAAAATTCTCTATAAAGTTTGTGAATTTTTTAATATAAATGATTTAATTAAAATTTTAATAAAAATTTAAATTGATATATTGATAGAGTTAAATAAAAATGTCAATAATAAATCATTAAAATAATATTTATAATTCAAATTTGATTAATATTTATTTAATGATAAAAATTTTATTAAAAATAAATATCTAAAAAATATATCAAATTTAATTAAAATTTTTTTAAATTTTACATAGTTGATTTATATAATAAAATTTTTTAATTTTCATTTAATTATTTTTAATATAAAAATTTATCTTAACTCCATTTAATTCGTTCCCGTTAAAACTTACCTGATAAATTAAATTGATTCTTTTCAGAAGTTTCTTCTACATTTAGCGCGTGACAACCACGAGCTCTCCGGAACGAAAACAACACGTGTCAACCCATCATTAGTCAAGTCCTTTCTCGCTTCTATTTATTCCGCCAACTTTCGCTCTTCTCACTTAGCCGTTATCATTCTGTTTCTGTTTCGTCTGAAAAAAAAAAAAAAGGAAAATGGCTCAGTCGTCGTCGGCTTTTCTTTTTTTCGCCGTTTGGGCACTGCTAATGTCACCGGCGGTTTCCCTAACCTGCTCCTCTCAGAAGTTCACCAACAACCAAGTTTACTTCGACTGTCTCGACCTCCCTTCTCTTTCCTCCTACCTTCACTTCTCTTATGATTCTTCAAACACCACTCTCTCCATCGCCTTTATCGCTACTCCGTACAAATTCGGCGGCTGGATCGCCTGGGCCATAAACCCAAAGGCCACCGGCATGGCAGGATCTCAAGCCCTCGTCGCCTACAAAAACTCCACCACTGGCGTCGCTGTCGTGCATACCTACGACGTCATCTCTTACGGTTCAATTGTGCCGAAAGATTTGTCATTCAAGGTTTGGGATAAAACGGCGGAGAGTAGAACCGACGGAAGTTTGGCAATTTATGCTAAAATCAAGGTTCCAGTGGATTTAGCGTCGAAAGGGACGATTAATCAAGTTTGGCAAAAGGGTCCCGGCGTCAGGGAAGATGGCAGCTTGGTAAAACATGACTTTGCTGCTGCTAATTTGCAGTCTAAAGGAACCCTAAATTTGAACAGTGGACATAGTAGTAGTTCTGGAGGAGACATCACGGCTAAGAAGAAAAATGTGAGCTTTCCTTTTAATAAATTATTGAATTTCTTTTCTTTTTTAGATTTTTTTTTACAGAGAAAATGTTTGTTCCTTAGAATTGTTGACTGGGGGGTTGATTGTTAAAATTAGAAAAAAAAATCAACAAAAAAATCAAATTCTTGTATAGATAGACTTGGGTTTTTGGTGAATTTGTTAAATGTAACAAAAATTTGTTGATGACAGATTCATGGAATACTAAATGCTGTGAGTTGGGGAATTTTGTTTCCGCTTGGAGCAATGATTGCCCGGTACCTAAGAACTTTTGAGTCTGCAGATCCAGCTTGGTTTTATCTTCATATGTTCTGTCAAATATCAGCTTATGCTATAGGAGTTGCTGGCTGGGGAACTGGTCTTAAGCTCGGAAGTGAATCCTCCGGGATTACATATTCCGGTCACAGAAATATTGGAATTTCTCTTTTTGTTCTTGCTACTGTGCAGGTACGTGTTGAATTGCTGTCTTTTGGTGTGCAGCAAATGGAATTTTTGCATCAATTGTTTGGGTGATTTTTAGTTTCCAAAGACTTAATCAACTCGTTTTCCTAATGCTTAAAGTTTGAGATATTGTTGCGAGTTCGAATATGTTGAAAGCCGCAGGAAGATAATTTTTCATGAATTCATTAAATTTGTCGTAGATAACCCTGCTTGAATTGGCCCGGAGAGGGATGTAATGGCCAACAACCTAGAACCATTGACGCTTAAAAAAAAGTTTGAGATATAGTTGATGACAAGTTGCAAGGATCAATGAGTTTTGGACTTGTAGCATTGTGCGAATTGAAGTTTTTGCTGTGATAGATCTTTTGTCTGTTTTGTGCTGTGACACTGAACTTGGAATTTATTGTTTGTCTTTGTAGATTTTTGCCTTGTTTTTAAGGCCCAAGAAGGATCACAAGTACCGATTCTACTGGAACATTTACCACCACAGTTTGGGATACACGATACTTGTCCTTGGCATCGTCAATGTGTTCAAGGGTTTCAATATCTTGAAGCCTGAGCATAAGTGGAAATCGGCTTATGTGATTGTGATTATTGCCTTGGGCGGGATTTCCTTGCTGTTGGAAGCGATTACTTGGGTTATAGTTGTGAAGAGAAAGTCTGGGAAGTCCACCAAACCCTATGATGGATACAACAATGGTCATGGTAGACAGCAGCCTCTTGCCATGTGATCAACTGATTCTTTCAGTTCCTCTGCCCAACCTGACTTTGTAACGTCCTCATCCTCTCATGTTTGAGACGTTATGAGGTCTCTCTATTACGAACCACTTACATATATTTTTTCCTCTCTTGTATATTGGCTTGATTCCAAATGCTGTTATTATCATTTGGTGTATGCGTATAGTAGTATATTTCTGAGTATTTCAGCTATCTTTTTCTGTCTTTGCGAATAGAATTGAGGATGAAACTTTCTGGTTTGAATATGTACTGAACATGATTCTTTTTTCTTGTCACCCTCCTTTATCAGGATTCCATTTTTTGGCAAACAATTACTTACTCTCCCAAGCTAGATTTCCATCTGCATTTTCAGGCATCACCATTTTTTTGTTGCCTGGGGAAAATATACAGCGGTGGTTGATGAGGTTATGGCTTGAACTCAATATTCTCTGCTTGAAACGCCATTTTCAACCTCTTTTATAACCTCTTATGGCAAATGTTGTAGTTTCCTGTCAGCATTATTCGGATCTGATGCTACAGAGAGCTGCCTTCCATCTTTTTTCTTGATCATTTATTGGCATTCCGGCTTGTGCAAATGACAACTAACACAACCAAACTATTTTATCTTCCTAAGAAATTTGAAGTAAAAGGAGAATGGTAATCTGTCATTCTGACATGTAAACATTAGTTCAATTCTACCTCTAACAACCCAAAGAACGAAGGGACAATGTCTAGGGAACCAAACATTCGGGTGAAAATGACATTCAAAATGAGACAACTCTTGATGAATCATTAATCATCAAACCTACTTTAGTGCTTGCTTTGCTTTTGCTCCATTTACGTGTCAATTTATTGATACGAGGAATGGTTGAAGTGTCATATATTTGATGTAATTTGTTAACTTCTGCAGTCTTAGGAAAGTTCTTGAAGTCCTGCGAAAGGGACCAAGTGTCCAAACTTGGATTGGATGTAAATTTTGAGTTGATTCAAACATATTTGTTAATGTTAAATTTAATGAATTTATAAAAAATTACTTTTTATAATTTTTTTTAACAAATTCGAATCCAAATAGTAAAAAAAAAAGCACACTCTGAATGTCACCTTTGCCCAGCAATTATATTCACCAAACCTTATTTTGATCGAGAGCTTGTTTTGACTTCATTAAGTGCCCTTAAGACAGGGGTCCCCTCCCAGTCCATATAATTATGTAACTCTCCTCGGTTCACCATTGTTTTTGTTCATTTCTTTCCTATGGGCAGCTTTCTTTATGAGATTCCCATGTGATTAACATGTTTCTCCTCATTAATTGGAAGAAAAATGCCCCTTAGTTCCGGCAGGCAGCAGTTAGATTGTCCTCTCACAACCATAATGTGCTTTATCATTGACAACTGAAAGCAGGGTGAAAAGAAATCTCAACAAGAAAATGACCCATTCAACCTTAATAATAGAAGAGACCTACAATTTCAAATATAAATAGTGATATGATATAAAAATCACATGAAAAAAATTATATATGTATTTAAAAAAAATGTGTTTCGTATTTATTCGTGTCGACACGAATATCAATATAATATAATTTGTATTGTATATGTGTGGATTCATCTAAACACGAGACATGACATGAATAACATATTTAATTTAATTTTGTTATATGTGTACACATTTATTATGTTTAACATGTTGAATACATTTCTTATATTTATTTGAATTTAATATAAACATATAAAGATTATTTTAATTATGATAATTAATTATTTAATATTATATAAAAACTATTTTAAATATTTAATTATGATACTCATTTAATAATTATTATAAGATTATTTTTTATATTAATAATATCAATACAATATTATATTAATATTAGTCTTATACATTATTATTTTATTTTTTAATCTTTAATAGTTTATCATTTTAAATTTGATACTAAAAATTAATATAGTTATGTAATATAAATTAAAATTTAAATACATATATATTAAATAAATATTAAATGAGTATTAAATTTTTTTAATATGTAAGTATTTTTTATATTATTAATATGTCAAATTTATTAAGTTGTAAATGATTGATAGTTTATAATTTTTTATTATTTTAGTTGTATTCTTGTATATTTTAATATTAGTTTTGTTTATTCGTGTATATCCGTATTAACAGTGTCTGTTTATGTATATCCGTATTATTCGTATTTATTCGCGTCATGTTTAAACGAATTAATTATACACGTGTTAATTTTATCATATTATGTATAACATATATATTAAATGTGTTGTATTCGTATTTAAAATTTAAACACATTTTATAATTCTTATCATGTTCGTATTTTAATAATTCGTGTTATTACATGTATCAAATACGACATGAAACATGATACAAAAACACGAATTACCAAATTTATGATGGAGGCCTTCAACAAATTCAAATCTTAATGAATAATTAAAAAAAATTAAAAACTCCTATTCTCTTCTAACAAATACAATACATTTTATTAAAATATTAGTACTATTTAAAATCAAAACTTAACACAGCTAGATCATACAATTACCGTTAAGAGATACGACACCTAATGCCGTCTTTGTATCCTCGAACTACAAGTTCGTTTATATAAAAAAAAATTATTACTATTTTTACACAAATCTTAACATTCAATTCCACAGCACTTGTATATAACAAATTTTTTACTATTAGCAACGACGTTTTGACGCTAAGATTGCATTGAAATTTTAAAATACTTATCCTAACGGTCGTTTATGACACGGCGGGGCCATGTAAAACAAGTTGGTAGGATTTTGCTTGGATTATGTTGCCGTCGCTAGAAATGGGAGATTAGCTAAAGCGACATAAAAAAAAAAAAAAAAGAAAAGCAAAAGGGATGTTCTTAGAGTATGACTATTGACCCAACAGACATCCCAATGGGGGCTTTTCTCAAACAAGGTTGGGTAGTTTGGATTTGCATTTAAGTTACGGCGTTGGTAAAGCTGTTCGATGTGGATATGTGATCCCAATTGACAAGGCGCCATGCAATTGAAAACGAGTATTCTCGTGCACATCTAGGCAGAGACAAGAGAATAAAATTTTTCATATAAAACTTCAAAATGGAGGAGTTAGGGAGAGGAGTGGAATGTGAATCTAAGCTATTTCTAGTCAATTCCGTCACAATAGCTTGGAAACAAATCTGCAGATATTATTATTATCTTTAGTGACAAACGCTTTTTATTTCCATATAAGAGAGGTGAAAACTTAAAAGAGAAAAAAATTTATAAAGGTTGAGGATAATTTTTTCAATATAAGAGAGGTGGTGACTTAAGAAATAAAAAAAAATTGTAAGTGTTGAAGATCAAATCTCAGTTTTCAAAGAATTTATCTCTTAAAAAAGATGGATTAATCATTTAAATTAAATTCTAAATTCATTAAAAATAATTTCAACTTTGTAAGAAAATTTTTAAAAAATGAGTGAATCGATTAAGTTAAACCCTAAATTTGCTATAGATGTTTTTCTAATCTCTTTGATTTTATATTAGCAATTTAACATGAAAACTCTTCGAAATGTAATATTATTTTTTTTAGTTTATCTACCTATCAAGGTACTATAAATTAGCTTCAAAATCTCTATTTAAACTCTCCTTCTTTATTCACTTACATCAAGTTCAGTTTTTATCTCTTTTAATCCATTAAACAACATGTGAACTTTTCCCTTTTATGTTTTTCACTTGTCATAGCTATTATTGGATTGCACAAAGAGTTAACTTTTAAGCTCAATTAATGGGCATTCATGAAAATACATTAATTCTATTTAACTTTTAATCTCTTGCTTTTACATACTGGTTAAATGAATTTATGGGTTTATAAAAAAGATAAAACTTACATAAAATTTTTTAGGTGAAATTTGTAATTTAAAAAAAATGATTTAATAAAAACTTTAATAAAGAATCCAAATTGATAGAATTCAATATGAATATCAATAATATATAAAAAAATTATTAAAAATATTATTTATAATTCAAATTTGATCGATACTTATTCAACGGTAAAAATTTTATCAATATTTTTACTAAAAATGTCTATTTAAATATATATCAAAATTTATTAAATTTTTTTTAAATTTTACACATTTGATCTATATAATGAGATATTTCAATCTATCAATTTTTATTTAATCATTTTAATTAAAAATTTCACAAATTTCATCCAAAAAATTTTATATAAATCTTTGTCCCTAAAAAAAAGCTAATAACACTAAAATGAGAATAAAAGATAGCGTTACAAATTTGCTTTATCGGACAATCGGCGACGCATATTCAAATCTCACGGTTAGTATTCATGAAAGTGGGGTCATTATCTCTAATCTGAAACAAAATAGAGGACAAAAGAAAATGCATAGGCAACATGTCACAATGATGCCAGGATGACTAAATAAATATGCTATTACATGTCTGTTTTATTTGCAACCATATTTTAATATGACATCATGGCTTCATCACTAATTTTTCCCGACGATTACTCTGTTTTTTCAATTTTTAAATTACATCCCATTAGTTCAGAGGTTAAATTTAATAATTTTTATATTTTAATCATATAAAATATTAATAATTTATATTATTATATTATTATATTAAAATTATGTATTATAATTTGTTTCGATATAAAAATATAATATATATTTTAAATTCATATATAAATTTTACTAAAATTTTAAATTATATCATTTTTATATTTTTTATATTATTTTTATGTTATATTATTGTTATATTATATTTTAAATTGCTGGAGTAATCCTTGAACTCATGCTCATGCACTCCATTTCTTTTATTGTCATGGTTTATATTATATAAAATATTGATAATATTTATAGTTATATTATATTTTGTATAAAAATTATATATTATAATTTATATTAATATAAAAATATAAAAAATATATATTTAATTTTATTAAATTATATTATTTTTAAATCATATTATCGTGAATTTTTTTTATTGTTATGATTTTGTGCCACTTGATGACAGTGAGCTATGGAAGGTTGAAGCTCAGAATAGAGGTGTAATTGAGCTGAGTCGAGGTGATACAGTGAGAAGCTCAAGCTTCAGCTCGAGCTCGATTCACAACTCGCAGTTCGATACTCAGTTTGAACTCGATCGAATTTTATTTTTCAAACTCGAGCTCGATTCGTGATCGAATTCGAGCTACTCAAACTCACTTGATTAAACTCGATTAATATGTAAAAATTAGCTTGATTCGTATACTTGATAAGAGTTCAATTATTTATATTCAAACTCGAAATATTTTATTAATTAAAATAATTAAAATATATTTAAATATAAAAGCTCGATTAAGCTCATGAATTACTCGAATTAGATATAAAAATACTCGAATTCGACTCGATCGATAAGTCGAGCTCGAACTCGACTCAATAATAATCAAATCGAATTTAAATTTTTTTCGAATCAAATTCAAATAATTTACGAATACTAATATATCATTTACAGTCTTAACCTAAAACAATGGATCCATTATCTCATTCTTTTGTCAACAAAATCAATGTTTTGTCCCTTCATGACTCAAGAAGAGTTGTTTGGACTGTGTTGGGTGTCGATGCCCGTGTCATGTCCAAAAACGTTGGCTTATTCGATTTTGTTCCTTTTCTTTCGTTTTTTGTTTCGTTACTAATGCCCACAATTGGTGCCTGTCTTCGCCACCTTTCAAAGCTAGTATTAGGAGAAATAGGCCCATGATTTTTTTTTTTTTACAAATTAATAGACCTGATATTGTGACACATGACACCGTAATTCTATATAAAAACGATATAAATAAAAAATATAAAAAATATCATGATTTAAAATTTTAAAAAATTATAAATAAATTTAATAAAATCAAAAAATTATATTTGATATTTTTATATCAACATGAACTATAACATATGACTTTTATATAAAATACATCATAAATATAATATTTTATATGATAAATGATACAAATTGTTAGGTTTACAAATTAATTTATAGTTTTAAAAAAATAATTATAAGTATTAAAGTTTAAAATTTAAATTTATTGACTGTTTTGTTTTAAAAATAATTATATAAATTAATTGAATTAAATTTATAATTTATAATTTTTTAACAAAATAAATAATTTAAAATTTTCTTTCATTAAAATAGGCAAAAAGGGTATGTAAATTAGAATATATAATGTATTAAATCATTTATAAAAGAAACATGTAATATATGTAATGTAAAATGTTAATTTCTTGCTATGTTTAATGAAAATATTAAAAATAAATAATAAAAACCAAATAATTTGTTTGGCCCAATTGGGCAAAGTTTGGGCCTTGAATCCATTTTATTTTAATCCACATACAAACCCATTATACTAAAATAAACTGTCTAATTCCATCCAATGATTGGGCTATGGCTATGCCACATCAATGTTGACAATTTCCAGGCAATTCCATCAACGCACATCCATGCTTGAACCCTTTTCTTTGTCAAAGATTCTGATCTGAACTCTGTTAATGATGCCCAACTCTGAATGCTTTATTTGGATGGTCAGTGGGTCAACAAATTATAATCATAGCCGTAGATATGGAATTTTGATAATGGGACAATTGGTCAACAATGGCTGCTTCAGTGTTTCTTCACATCCGCAACCACATCATGCTCATTTAATTCTAAAGACTAATGAAAGGAGTCTGATGTTTGATGAAGCACTAAGCAAATAACAAAGCAAACCATGGTTTTTTCATCATCTCTTGTTTTCTTATTGTTTGTGGGAGCTTTAGGTACAGAATCTGCAGACTCTTTGGGCCAGTTTTGTAATCAAGATACCAGAATAAGTAGCAGTAGCCTGATATCAGCCAACATCGATCATTTGCTGGCTAAACTGGTCTCTGAAGCTTTCTTAACTGCTTATGCTGCTACTTCCTACGGCAAGAACCCAGACAAAGTCTATGGCCTGGCTCGGTGCAAAGGAGTTGTAATCAGCGAAGACCGTTCAAGTTGCATCCGAGATGCAGCAAAGCAAATCCGGCAACGTTGTCCGAACCATGCTGATGCAAAGATTTGGTATGACCATTGCTTTTTACGGTTTAGCAATAAGAAACTGGGTGGAGGATGTGACAAATCATTTAGTGTAAGCTATATTAATATTGAGAAAGTTACAGATACCGAAAGTTTTCTCAAGGAAATAGGCTTGGTAATGGATAAAGTTCGATCACAAGCTCCTGTGACTAGAAATGGACTTAGGAAACTTGAGACAATAGTGTTGCAGTTTGTCACTGTTTGCAATGGAACAGGGCATGAGGGGCCTATTTCAGATGGATTCTGTTCAATGCCTGGCAATTACTGCTGAAAATCTCCATAACTATACCAATGATATACTTATGAGATTTGATTCATATATTAATGAGAAAATATTGATGTTTAATTATGTTACATACCTAAATGGAAATTGGTACTGATCACTTTATGAAAAGATCAGATGGCAACATCTGGCAGCCATATCTAAGTTGCCAGGTTTACTTCCAACTGCAGTTCAGGTCTTTCCATTGTTTTACCCCCTTTGGCATACTGTTTATTAAATATTGGTTCTAAAGCCTTGAGGTTTTATCAGTTTAAAAGTATATAAAGCTAAAACTGTATCATTTAAATTCGGAACTTAGCTGAGTTGATTCATACAATCACCCTTAAAAGGTGACATCCAACAGGTTTGAAGTTCAAATCCTAACGCTTACATTCCCTTTCCTTATCTCCGAATTACTGTCTACTTTGATAAAAAAAAAAAAAAAGTGTGCTTTCGAGAAATAGTTTACTTGCGAGTCGTAATTAGCATCTAGGATTCAAGTGAGCCATTATAACAATTTAAAAAGATTTGATGAGGAGACCCTTTTTCTCTTCGTAAAGATTATGGACTTATCTTCATACTACGGTATAGCCAATCAAATGATGCAACTGTGCAATCATCCGCAATTTTTAATAAAATAATTGGTTATGCCCCTCATTAGGCTTTTGTCAACTGGATGATGGATTGATGGTGCAGCAGAAACAAGACTGGAAAGACTTTTGATCAATAATTGGAAAATACTTTGGATTGAACGCAATGATCCAACCCAAAAGACTTTCATGCAAGAACCGTCCGTAAATTTCCATAGAGATAATTATCCCTTCGTGAGTTATTCTGCTCAATGTTTCCATAACATGATCACATCAGAAATGCTGAGAAATTCATGCCAAAGGGGTTCACAAGAAAGGAGCCCATCTGCTTAATAAGCGGTGAAATGTCTTCTATATCATTTAGTGGAAAATGATTGGATTCCTAATTGTCCAAGTAGTTGGGGGAAAAATTATTATCTAAGAGATTATCATCAGCCCATGAAGCTTCACTATTTGGTTGCTGAGAAACAGAAAACGATTCTATTATAGATATTTAAGTGGGTCGTCGTTATAGCTTAACCATATACTTCGTCAATGGATATTAAACAATCATTTTGATAACCTATGGAAAGACTTTCTAGAAACCATGGCCCATGTTTTCCACTTGTTGCAGTGGTAGAATACAGGTAGTCAAGAATGTCTGCCACTGCTTTTCCACATCTAGATCCTCTCCAATCCGCAGGGCCATTAATAAGAGAGCCTGAGCACAAGGGTAGCTTTAAGTTTGCAAGAAAGCAGTCATGAGTTTGTTATACATTCTTCTTCTTTCATTGTTTCTAAGCAGTTTCAGGGCTGATCCTTTGGGTAATTTTTGTGATGAAAACACCAACATAAATACCAGTAGCCAGACATCAGCAAACATTGATCTCTTGTTAGCTGAACTGGTCTCTAAAACTTCCTCAACTGGTTATGTTGCTACTTCCTCCGGTAGAGAACCTGACGAAGTCTATGGTCTTGCTCAATGCAGAGGCGATGTTAGCAGTAAAGATTGTTCAAGTTGCATACAAGATGCAGCAAAGCAAATTCGCCAACGCTGTCCAAGTCAATCTGATGCAAGGATTTGGTATGACTATTGTTTTCTACGGTATAGCAAAGAGAATTTTGTTGGAGAACTCGACACATCGTTCGGTATATTCTACTTTAATGTTGCAAATGTCACTGATCCTCAAAGTTTTAACAAAGAGCTTGGAGCTCTAATGGATAAAATTAGATCAGAAGCTGTCATGCCAAAGCAAGAAGGGCTTGGTAAAGGTAAGACCAAATTGTCACCATTTGTGAACCTTTATGCTTTGGTGCAGTGCACAAGGGACCTATCTCAGATAGATTGTGCTCAATGCCTGGCAATTGCTGTTGGGAATTTCCCAAACTTTTGTGACAACAAGAAGGGTTGTCGGGTCTTATACAGTAGTTGTTATGTACGGTACGAGCTTTATCCGTTTTTCTTCCCAATTGATTCAAATAATGGTACCTCATTTGGCAAAACAGTGGTGATATTTCATAGATTTTTGATTTCTTAGTGAGCTATGCCAAAATCAGTTTGTTCAAAGGATTTGCAAGCCGTGTGGTAGTTCCTTTTCATATAATAAATTCCTGTCGCTTTAACCTATGTACTTCGTTTCAACAAGAATGATCTCTATGTTGCATTTTGTATTTCTGTTTATACAAGTTTATCTTTATCTGAAACAAAAGCAAATTGAAACTGGATATCTCTATTTTTATGAACTTTATCAAGGCGCCCTCTTAGTTGTTGGCTTTGCCATGACTTCGGGGAAACGGAATTACATCTCTGACATCAGTGAGGCCAGTGGCAAGGAGAACCATCAGGTCGAATCCTAGACTGAATCCGGAGTGCTTGACTGTTCCATGCCTTCGTAGATCTAGGTACCATTCATACTGATCTCTTGACAAGTCAAATTCCTTGATCCTGAAATGAGAAAATCCATAGCAGACAATGAGAAATTGTCTTTGCATCAATGAGGAAATGTTAAGTCCACAAGAATAAACCAGAATTAAAATGGATTGAAACTCAGTTTCAGAAGAGCGGGGATATTTGCAGTAAAAGGGTCTATATGTTTTCATTTTCAGCAATATTACCCCTTTCTTTCCAGCAAAAACATTATCAACCCTCAAAGCATTTCCCCTAGTGACTAAAAGTATTATATTATCAGAAAGACAGTAAGGCTAAAAATATATCTTCTCCATTCTTGATGGAAAGTTATAAGCATATGATATAGCAGTAGAATAGATCAACAGCCCAATACTTCTCTAATTCTCATCACCATGACTTCTCGAAAACTCTCAAGTCGGAGCACTAAAGTCCATTTGACCAATAATTGTAGCTTTTATAACTTCATTTGCTAACAATCATTCAACCTGGTTAGTGTTCTGCACTGTCACCAATTTCATTTGAACCCAAAATTTCCGAACATTTTTCAAATCATTTGTAGTAGGACTACAAAATATGGTGCAATGAAACAACAGAACAAGGATGGACATTACCTTGTATTTAGCATGTCAAAGCGCTCTTCATTTTGGCTGCCTGTAATCACTGCTCCAATCTACATACCATTTATCCAGCTTTATAACCAATCTAAACCAGCACACTTTTTTTTTTTTGTGCCAAAAGATATTTGTTTTAAGATGTTCTTCACCTCTTTAAAAAAATTTAGACTTACCTTAGGTACAACCATCTCAAATGCTGCAACTGTGTTTCCATCATCATTCAAGCGTACATAAAATGGCTTAACTGCTTTTGGATAATCATAAATAATTACAGGCCTCCTATAGTGCTCATCAGCCAAGTAGCTGTCATTGAGTAAATGGATGGTAAGAACCACTAATGGAAAAAGTCTTTGCATCCTATTCTTTAGGATATTTGCATTCAACACTTTTAAGTTAATAGCAAATTATACAAACCTTAGATGTTCAGCTGTTAAAGGGATTCCCCATTGAAGTTGTGTTTCAAAAGCCTCATCTGTGACCTGGTGTTGAAGAATGAAAAACGTTTGTCAGATAGAATTTGCTAGATGTGGCTGATATGTTGGCAGGGGTAATATACACTAAGTTCATGTTGTCCAGGTTTACCTTTCTCAAAATTTCCACAGCCTCTCTATAGGAAATCTTTTCATAAGAACTTGATATCATATATTCAAGACGATGAGTAACAGTGTTGTCAATTCTTTTTGAGACAAACTTCATGTCTTCTGAACACTTATCCAATATCCATCCGCAGAGAAATTTGAAAACGTCCTCTGCACATTTTATGGCATCCTGGAAACTCCAATCAAAGATATCAATGAGGTTTCAATGCTTGAAAATTCATTCACAGGTATAAGCCTAAGGAATAATAAATAAAGAATAATGAACTACCTAACGGCCAGGAGAAGAGCTAAATGACAACGGAATTGAAATATCTATCTAACATGATCATGAAATTACATAAGCTTGAGCCTTGAAGGTGCAAAGTCTTACCTCTAATTGTGAAAAAGCCATTTCGACGTCAACAATCCACATTTCAGCCAAATGTTTGGCGGACACTGTTTTATCAGCTCGAAATCTGGGTCCAAACGAGTAAACATATCCAAGAGCACATGCATAGCTCTCCAGATGAAGGCGACCAGAAACAGTTAAATAACTCTGGCGACCAAAAAAATCTTCATTCAAGTGCTCTAAGTCAGGCTTCACTGCAGTTATTGGTTTGAATTTTTCTCTTGCTTCAATCTGTTCTGCTAATTCATTTGTTTTCTGCAGATCCTGAAGAGCAACAACAAGTGCTTCTCTATTGTTGTCGCTTCTCTTGAGTTGTTCAACCAGACTGGATTTCTTCTTTATAGCGGCCTTAACAGTTTCAAGCCCAACACGATCAGCATGACTGACGCCAACCTCCTCCTCCTTCTTGCTTGTTTTCCCTAGAAGAGTTGTAGCCTGAAACTTTTCACTGAACCCTTCAGTGTCTGTAGTTGTGATAATTGGCACCTGCACATGTAAAAAACCATGGTTCTGGAAGAATGTGTGGGTTGCAAAATTTAGGGCGCTGCGAATTTGTGTAACAGACGCCACCTGCGATGTAAAACATAGTAATTAAAAAGTATATTTTCTTTTGACAGAATGTCCAAAAAATAGCAATGGATACAGAGATACCGTAGTTGTCCTAGGCCGAATATGGGCACAATCCCTCAGAGAATCAAGGGGTAATCTTTTCCTTGACAAAGGATACTTATCCTCCTCTACTGTCCCAACATGAAGCATTTTCTCTACTTTAAGTTCAATTGTTTGTTTTCCACGTGCTGATGGTTTTTCCAAAACCCCTTGGGCTAATATAAATGTTCCAGTTGGTAGAATCTGGCCTGCAGACACTGGAACTACAGCTGAATCTATCACAACCTGACAATTTTCCAATACCAATTACGAATTCAAGCAATCTGAATACTCAGTTTAGAAAACAGGAAAAAAATTTAGGATTTGAGAGCACCTGAAGATTTGAAAGGCAAGAGCCATCATTAATTTGTAAAAAGAATGTCGAAGCAGGAGGTGGTTTAGGAATCAAAGACTCCAGCTTTTCTCGAACGGCAGGGGAACTAGCAGAACCACCCAAAACCCTGATTATAGTCCTAAAAAACGGGATTCGAGATTTAAGAACTTCCACACAGCTTGCGTCTTTATGCCTCCGAGTTGCAGGGAGAGCACCGGCTGCAACCGGTGGCGATGGCATAGGCTCCTTTTTCACCTCCTTGGAAGATTTCACCCACCCTCCAACCACCACTGTCTTACCAACCAACCCCATCTCGCCATCACTATCTTCTAATTCCAATATGGTTTTCAACATCACCCGGTTCGAGTACATCGATGGCATCAAAGGGGAGCTGGTAACCTTTGGTTCTTCAGACTCCATCTTTTGTTATGAAAAAAAAAAAAGAATGGAAAAAGAGCTGAAACAGGAAGGCTTGCAGAGATTGGTGATGACTGGCAACGGCTTGGGTGTTGGTGATGATATAGATGGAGGAAAAGGGTGCTTTTCTTTAAGAAGGAAGAGAATGGGAAGGAAAGGAAAGGGATTGTTTGCCTGCATTGACATGATTTTGCTGTGTGGGAATGAAATTGGCGAAGAACAGAAAGAGGAGAGAAAGAATTGGCGGCAAGGTTAGGTATTCTTGGGAAGTTGGGAATTCGCGGGAATTTCCGAGCCTCAACGGTTCTACAAACAAGAACGGAAGGCCAAAAAAAAAAAATCGTATTTATTATTTCTAATTAGGGATGAAAAAAATCGAAAAATTGATTCGAAATTATGATGTTTGAATTGGTTTGGATCAAATTTTTTTATTTGATTTAAATATTAAATATATATATATATATATTAAGTTTGAATAAAATTTTAAATTAAGATATAAAAATTTTTAAAAAATTAAATTAAATTGAATTGAATTATATATTTTAAATATTTATAAAAATAATTATTTTATATATAAATTTATTTAAATATCTTAAAATTTTTATTAAAATGATATTTTAAAAAATTAATTTTAAAAACCATTGAATTGAATATGAAATTTAATTTGTATTAAACCGATTTTAAGAGAAAATAAATTACGGTTCGAATCAAAATTTTAAAATTTATAATATTATACATTATTCAAAAAAATTAAATTGAATTTGATTTAATTTAAATTATTATCATTTTTATTTTTAATATCAAAATTATTATATCACATTTGAAATATAAAATATATTTTTAATTTTTAAAAAAAATTATATGTAATATTTATAATTTTTTAATTTTTATATTATATCATGCAATTACGCATTAAATTATCAGACAATTTCATTTTTAGCGTTTTAACTAAAGCAGATAAAATGTTTAAAAAAAAAAAAAAACTAAAGCAGACAAAAAAAATTAAATTTAATTTTGGGAAATGTATTGAGCCTCAATGAATGGGCCGATGAGCCGAACCTGAAGTGCTTAGTGCTTACAAACAACTGGACCCCATTTCTAGATTTCTTCAAAGTTCGATTACCATTTAACTTTAGATGTATTTTATCATAAATAAAAAATATTAATCTATTTACCATTTGGTGAATTTTTAAAATTCTATTATTACTGTCTGATTTTTGGATCAGTTAGTTTGACATTGAAGTTAGTATTTAAAGATTACAATTCATAAAAATTTGTGTAATATTTCTTCAGCCGTATAAATATAAAGGTAAAAAATAATCAAATTAATAATATTATCAGGATCTTTTATTTATCATATTTATTTATTAAGTATTTTAAATATATTTTATTTATTTTTTAAACTCTTAACTTAAATTTTTTATCAAATTATATACTTAATCAAAAAAATATTACATAATTAAATTCTTTCGAATTTATAATTTTTAAGTGTCGAGATATGAATTAATATAAGAGATAATCAACTTAAATATATTTTATTTATTCAATTGTTGAAGTTTAAAAACTGATAAAAAAAAAAAAAACTTTTCACTTCTGACTGAAGAATCTTCTGATGATAAAAAAGTAGGGAGGAAATAGGAAGGTGTCAGATGTGGAAGAAATAGTATGAGAGGAAAAGTGCAGCCACAGCTCGTGCCCATGCCTGCCTCCCAACTCCCAAGGACCACCCATGGTTCACCGGGCTTAGCAAATTAAGCACTGAGATTATTCATTACATGGGATGGAGGAGTGATTCTGACCATTGCCCAAGTTCCAAACTCATGCCATTCAGAGGAGGAAAGTATTGGTTTATCGGCTTGGCAAAGATGATCCTAAATTACATCATTGTAAGGTGAGTAATTCATCGATTCAGTCGGTTTAATTTAAAAAAAAAATCAATAATTAAATTAATTAATTTTTATCCAATAAATAATTGAATCGAATAAAAATTTTTAAATAATCGATCATAAACGAATCGATTAAAATTAATTTAATTCGATTAAATAATTAAATTTTTTATATTTTTATTATGAATAATTAATTAGTCATAAATTTAATTTAATAAAATTCAAGTTCAAATATCATTTAAACTAAATCAAAATTTAATAATTTTAATAATATTTTACAAAAAAAATAAATAAAAATATTTATTTTAATAATTTTATTTTTACTTATTAAAAAATAAGTTAAATCGAAAAGTTAAATTATTAATTTTAAAATTTTAAAATTAATCAATTTAAAAAATTAATTATAATCAAAATTAAATAAATCAAATCAAATTAATCAAATGTACTTGATTTTGACCAATTTAATATATTCAAATCGATTTTTGCTCTTCTCTATATCATTCTTTTTGGTGCAATGGGCTTACTGGGGGGGGGGGGGGGGGCACAAAAGGATTCATCATTTCCCATGTCTGAATATTTTATTTCAATCTTGATTTGTTGAAAATTGTAGATGCACATATTTTAAACTGAATAGGACTTTGAGGTCCGTTGACTGAATAATGTAAGAGAATCAGTCATTCTTTTCTATGACTATAGAAGTTTCAACTTTTCTACATTCATCCAAGGATTTTACATGAATCTGAACAGTTCCCAATCCTGGAATTCCTGGATGCTTCGTTTGGTGGGTGACTACATCCATTAATCTAAGCTAAGGGCATGCAAATGATTTCCCAACTGTAGACCAAACATGAAGGATTCCCTCCCACGTCTCAAATTCCCCTTTTAGCCCCACCAAAATATCAAACTTATCCAACCCTTGAATAAGACTAAAGAAAAGGCCGTGGGCATTTTTGTAACTCCAAAAGTCAATCTACTGCTCCCATGGCCAGGTTTGGGTGTTTGGGGACCTCTTTTAGGTGTGCACCTCTGAGTCACTGAAAGATTTGCCGGTCTATCTCTTATGGTCATTAATTGACCACGACTATTTCTCTCCTTCTCTCTCATTTTTCCTTCTTATGTACTGGGCTACAACTTCATATATATCACCTTCAAAGTTTACTTCCAATGCTAAGGGGGAGAATGGCCAGCATTAAACTAAGCTACTTACTTTTGCTAGTCTTCACCTACTTCCTTGCAACACATCTAGTACAAGGTCTTAATCAGCCCTTACCTGTTCATTTTCTTGCCCTGAAACCATCTTTCCATTGCCGATATATATATGGCCCTTCACACTACACATTTTGTTTTTTACTAATCCTCCTAGCAGATTGATGTATTGGTTTTGTTTTCATGGCACATTTTGGTTAGTTATTTCGATATGCTTATGGTTCCAATTTTGCAGGATCTAGAACTCAAGTATTACTTCCTTTCCAACAACGGGTTTCTCATTTTCCTCCATTGCATTTGCAGGAAAGTGTATGAGCTTCATTTCTCATTATGAATCCCTCTATTTGCTTGACTTCTTTTATGATTGAAGACATACTAACTGATACATTTTTGAGCCAACACAGGTCGGCAATGAAGCAAAGATGGATAGAAATTCAAGGAGACTGTTGATTGGATCTACAGCGCCTACCTGCACTTATAATGAATGTAGAGGATGCAAATACAAATGTAAAGCTGAACAAGTTCCAGTCGAAGGAAATGACCCAATCAATAGTGCATACCACTACAAATGCGTTTGCCATAGGTCATAAATCAAATATGTTGTAAGCTTGAGTTGAGTGGACATGTGTGGTTTAGAATGAAGAACATATTGCACTATCATCAAAACAACTTCAAAATCTAGATTTTCTTCTACATCCAAATACTACTCTTTTGTCTCTGGAGTTATATGGATCGTGAGAAGTGGTGTCCATATTAGCTATTCTGGTTTCCTTTTGGCACAACAAGAATTTTCCTGCTATTTGGCTATCATGCAAGCTTCTTGAAGCAAAAGTGTACCATTAATTTCTTGTTCATGTGAGAGAATTCTAGTAGCAATTGCCTTCATTGTCTTTTTTTGTCTTTTTTGTCATTTGTGTTCAATCAAGCTTCCTTGACAACTTGATCAACTTTCTATCCAGTGGGCAACTACATAATGTTTTGGTTAGTATTTGCTTTTTCCTACAGGGTTGCGCCTATTTTGGTTTATCTTTGGTCCAAAGCAATAATGAAAAAGAAGAAAAGAATAACCTGAAACCCCATATAAAAACAACTTCTGGTCATTGGGATTGTAGCTTTGACAAAGCTGCATTCACATATCCAATATCCCTTCCTTGTTTTACTCAATGAGAAGCATTTTTTTTTAATTTTTTAATTTTTTTTGTGTTGTAATTTGATGTTGTGAACAAAACAACAAGCTGACTGTCATGAGATATGCTGCTAGGGTTTCTTCAAGTGGAGGATTTGTCATTTGATGGAAGGGTTTAAGAGTTTTTGAAGTGAGGCTCTGCCTCTGCAAGTTGGCATGAGTCAGTGGTCCCAAATATTTAAACATAAGCTAACAAAAAATCACATGGGCAGCTTTTATTATGAATCCGTTCAATTGCACAAAATGGCAGAATTGAAACTAACAAAGAAGCTCGAAGCTCATGAGAGAAGGGGAGACCCCTTTTTATCTGTGTACAGAAACAAACAAGACCCACCAACATTTATATGCTTGATTGCATTTGGCTTTCTTGATGTCATAGCCCGAGAATGAGACGTAACATGGTTATATTATCTTAATATAAAACTCTAAAGTAATATGAATTTTTTTTTTATTCATTCTAAACTTTTTTAATAAACTGATGATAAATCTCTATACATTCAAATACAAATTAATAAAAATACAAAATCATTTCATAGGATCTCACTAGATAACAACATCTCCAATACCTAAGTAATTTTTTCAATTTGATCTTCTAGCTTCTCACATAACTAAGTAAACTTATTACTTACTTATCTATAAAGAAAAAATAAAAGGAGAATAAGTAAACTATAGCTCAGCAAATATAAGCTTACACACCTTATCGAATCAAGCATCATTTTCATACATATCATATAGATTATTCAAAACATTCATCAAATCATAATGTCAAAACATTTCAAAGATCATTGTTCTGTTAAACATTTCATAAATTCATAAATAAATGTCAAAACATGTCAATTCATAAATTATTGCAAAACATGCTACCATTCAAATATCGTAATCAAATCAAATCAAATCATTGATCAATAATTAAAAATCATCATAAATTATCTTCATATACAAATAATTGATTAATCTTTGAAATCATCACAAATCATCATAAATCATTAGTTCATCGTTAGCTATGATCATTATTATAATCTGTGACATTGATCGTATTAATAATTTCATCATTATGATCATTGTTAATTATTATTACTTACTAGCCAAGGCCTAATGCAAACTACTATAACCCGTTAGTAGGGCCATATAATTATGGCTATGCTAACTACTATAACCCGTTAGTCAGTACCGCATAACTAGCTCTAGTGTCGATAATCTCACTTTCTAAAGATGTAAAACGTAGCTATCATAAAATCATTCCTTAAATATAAAATCATATTTTCATTTTATTCATAAGCATGATCCATCATTTACATAGCAAACAACAAAATAATCATATGCTTAATCCTATTTTATATATAAAAAATAAAAAATAAAACACTTACTCATTTAGAAATATATATATATATATACACACAGGTTCAAAAACAAGTAAAATGTGTAAGATTTTACTTATCTCATTTCGATTTTATCACTTAGTTTTTTTTGTCAAAATAATTAACAGCCTATTCAAGATAATTTCAATATAACAATAATTAATTAACCTATTTTGAGACTAATTATACAAAAAAAAATTTAATCAAACAAGAGTTCACTCAACTAATTAATATTGATAACTTGAGCTATTTTCACTAAAATAGCCATATATTAATATATCCAATTCAAAATTAAAATCTTTTTATTGTGTTAGAAACAAGACTCAATAAGCTTTTTAACAATATATGACCCATCTTGTGATTCATTGTAGATTAATTATAATAATTTTTGCAATCCAAGTCGTATGCTGCTATTATATAGTATATATACCTTCTAATAAAAATTACAAATTTATTCATAGGAAACTCCCACTTCTTTTGTTGGAAAGTAGACTTAATAAGCTTTCTAAACATATATGGCTTAATCTATAATTCTTTGTATAAAAATTAAGAAAAATTTCATAATTTCTCCTTACTGCTATTAGTAGGCAGCCTGCACATCCTTAAATAAAAATTAAACTATTCTTCATTGAAAACTCGAAATTGACTCTCATTTATTTTATTATAAAGGAATTCAACAAGCTTTCTAATGATATATAATAATCATAATAATATTTTATCTCTTAATATGGAATATTATCTTAATCCACCACTGTAAACACCAAGGTTCATACCAAATAGAAAATTTTCTTTCTAACTCCATTAAATTTCCATTTCTTATTTTTACAGTAATAAAATCACATTACTAAATTTTCTTAACACTTTATTAGACTTTAATTAAAATCTAAATAATTTGTCCAAACCAATCTTAAAGAGGATAATAGATTTCTAAAATTTTAAGATTTATCGAGTACAAGTTAAACATCAAGACTTAACAATCAACATTATTTTTTTTAAAATTGAATAAAATCATTTACTCATTTTGGAAGATAACTCTCTTTATATATTTTATTCTTACCCTTTACTTAAAATCTTTCGACTTGTTTATTTTGTATAAGAAAGAAAGGAGAAATAACTTTTTATTTTCTTTTAGTCAATTGTGATGAAAATAATAATATAAGATAACCTTATTAAAAATTGGATTATTTACTGATAAGTACTTTGCCTTTTTAACTTTTATTAAAAACTCCCTTAGTTATAAAATACCTAAAATATTCTTTTTTTTTTATTTTTTACGGGTATTACACTTGAAGTTCTGAGAATATTCTGGGGACCATTTCACACATAATTCCAGTAAACCATAGCCTAATGCTTTACTAGGGCTATGGCCATGGTTCGGACATGTAGCTTCACATCCATGAATCATGAGCTCCAAATCAGCATGAGTATACTCCAACACAACTTTAATACAAAACCTTAAATGCACAGGGATTTTTTAACTGATATTTTCGAGGCTTCGTTTCCTTCTGTTTTGGCCAATTGTGCCAAGTTTATCTGATTTTTGGATTAGTATTACAATATGTAATTGGGATCAAACCAATTTAATTGAGGGAAATGGTTTAATTACAATTTATTGCAATGGCAAAGATTTCTTTTGCTGTAATGACTAGAAACTGTAAACTTACCCTTTCAATTGAAGATCAGACTCCAGGTTCAATCTCTTCACTCCCTGCTTGGCCCTACTTAAACATACCAAAAGAAAATAAGTGTAGAGTTACACACTACAGCTGAAGAATTTGCTGTTTTTGCAATCTCACGAGTTCCGAATCGATGAGATTTTGCCATTTTGGTCCTTAATTAAACCTTTGAACATAAGCAAAATGTTGTGATAAATTAGCTGTTAGGTAAAATTATAGAAACACAACTTTGTGGAAGCCTAATGAGTAACAAACTGAATCCAAGGAATGGATGTTAATGGTAGTCTAGTAGGCTTCTTAAGTCAGCCACCGGTCAAGTAATCTATTGATAGATTGCTGAACTCTTAATTTCAGAATTCAATCCTTGCCTCAATATAAATATAATATATATATATATATATATATATATAAACAATAGACTATTAGACAGGAGATGAGTCAAATTCGAAGTAACCAACAAGGATCATGATCCGGCACTGTCCTCCGTTCACTTCAAAGTTAAAATGCATTCATACCACGATTGAAGGTTGATGAAGGTTCAAGCTGACGCTTAATTATACCTGGGTTTCAGCCATCGTGAACCTGAGTAAGTCAAGGCCTTGCATTCATCACTAGAAGATGAAGAAAAAATGCAGAAATAGACAGGGAGTCAGGGACAGCAAGAGGAAAACGTGGATTTGGTTGCTCGATCTGAGGGAAAACTATGAATGGATTTTAATCACTAGAGAAAAATACGGAATTGGCTGCTTGGATCTGATAAAATATTAGGACCCTAGGAACGTGAACACAAAATTAATGGACCCTTAAAATCTTTTATCGTGATTTCGTATCCATGATCAGTCTTCGTCAAGGAGGGCACCTAAACGGCTGAACATGAAGGGCTGTCCTCTCAAATGTTGAAGTAGTCATCCTGATTTCCTTAGTTCAACATTGTTTCTGCAAAAAGCAGCAAAGGTGAAACATGCATTTGCAAAAGAAAAATTGGTAGCTTTTTGTAGCTTGATTCATTTACCGATGAAAATTTTTGCATGGTATATTGCTCAAAGATTCTTCTGCAAGGGCTGCGGTTGAAAGATTGTGGATAGATTCTATTTTTTCTATTCTAATGAGTTAATGGGGGGTTTCCTCTTTACCGTAAATTGCTATAAAAACCAAAGGTTAATGATCTGTTTAACAACTTGATTTTTGTTGACCCCTATCTTTAATAATTCAGATCAAATTGTTATAACTCGATCAACAATTTTGATTCCTATTGTCCAAAGTTTAAACCTCGATAACTGGCTGACAGTCTCAACCAGAAGAGAAAGAGTGGCAGTTCATAATATCAATCCCGTCTGCGACTTAAAAAACAAAGCTCATGCCTCTGTAATTAGCCACCGAACTTCAATTCAACAAGGCCCTGCCTGAAGTACTTTATCTCTGCTGAAGCATGTCAATCCAAGAATCCCATAATCTTTATCCATTCGATCAAACCAAATATGTTGAAAAATTGGTTTGGTTTAGAATATATCTAGACCAGATTTTATCATGGCTAAGCAT